TCTGTTTATATGTTACAAGTTTCCTGCCTGTAAACTGGAGATCCTTGTACTCACCCCACTGGGTTGTGTAAATTTCATAACTCAACATGCATACAGGTTGGGACAATCTTAACTATCACCATCTTATGGAGAGAAAAACAGCCACATTCCAAAGTCCATTTATCACCCTTTTTCCACCCCCTGATCCTGCATGGTGTTCTTCCTCCCCTGCACTCCAGCACAAGGAGACTCTTAGGGGCGGGGGAGAAGAGAAGTTCTGAGGTGACTCCAGAAAGCAATACTTTGGTTCCAATTTCTACAGAAAGTAGTGAAACTAGCTGAAGAACAGAGTGGTGTTCCCAGCATTGGCTCTGGAAATGGACGCTAGATTATGAGCTACTCAAAGCAGGCTTCTGTCAGAATAGCACAAGGCAATAGGAGTATACATTGGACACCAACTGTATGCTAAATATTGAGGGCAGATAAAGATGACTAGACCCTAAAGGAGCTCATGAACCCAGGACGTCCAAGGCAGACAATTTTGTCTAGATTCACCCCCTTAGAGACCACCAACTCTGGGGTCTCTGAACTATCAAACATTCTCTCATTTGGTTGCAATTTAACAAGATTCCTAAGGGACAATGACCACTGCTCCAGACACAACCTAGTATGTCAAATTCAGGTCCACAAAACCCACTCAAGTATTTGCGGCACATTCATTTATTCACAAGTCTTTACTGAGCATCTTTGAAGTGCCAGACATAGCTGAGTCAATAGGGAGTCAAGGCAGACACAGTCCCTGATTCCATGGAATCTAAGGTCAAAAGAGGAGACAGACAGTAATGAACTAGTCATCCCCAAGTCAATGTATCCACTAGACAGTTGCTTTGCAGTAGCAGGGCACAGTCAACTCATCTTGGAGGCTTCCCCAAGGAAGTGATGCTTCACTAATTCATTAAGAATGAGGAGTGGTGTGAGATTTGAGGATGTGGGGAGGTGATATTCCAGCAGATGGCCTGGAGAGGGGGAAGTAGAAAGGCCATAATAGATTTAAAAGCTAAAAAGCAGTAAGTGTAGTGGGAAGGTTGTTACAAAGGTGGGTGGGTGGTAGGACTCAAGACAGAAGACAACAGGGATAGATAGACTGTGCAGAACTTTGGGCCCCTTCAGAGATGAGATCTTTATCTTAGGAGCAAGGGAAGCCACTTCAGGGTGTTTAAATGTACATGTGTGGGGGAGGGGGTATCATTTGATCAGACCTGCATTGCTGGGACTCTGCCACACAGAAGAGAGAGGGATGGGAAGAGGGCCAGAGTGGAAGCAGAGAAACCTGTCTGAAGGCTTCCACAATGGTCCAGGAAATAGATGAGGGGGGCTGGTTTTGGAGTCTAGCCATGGAGATGAGCAAATCTGAAAGTTGTTGCAGAGGTGAGATCATGGCCTCTCATAGTACTTATAGAGTGAGAGAGAGGAAGGGAAGTACACAGGCAAATCCCAGGTTTATGACTAGCACTTGGGTGGCAAGCTGAGCTGCTTACAGAGAGCCAGGGAAGAGTGTGGGAGGAGCAGGTTTGGAGGAAAGAGAAGATCCTTAACATGGATGAATCACATGTGCTCAGGCACTGTTCTTTATGCAGGCCACTATGCTGGACAGCTTCAAGAGCAAATGCAACACACACTTTACTGCCCAAAAGAGGGACCAGCAACAGCAGTAGGAACCAATAGCCTCCAACGTGCATCTATGGCTCCACAGCAAAGGGCCTAGTCATTAAGCCACTAAGAGGTACCCCATAAATATCTATTGGGTGACTGGATATTCCAAGGGCCACACACAGATAACAGGAACAAGGGGAGAAGTTTTTACTCAACACCTAATTAAAAGCCTAACTACCTACATAACACCACAGGGTAATATTTTCTCAAAAGACCTACATGAGGTTTGAGACCAAATGACCACGGTGTAGAGAACAACAGAAAAGACTTCAGGGAAAGGTTGTGGTGGTGGAAAAGTCTTTGTGGGTGGCCAAAGAGGCTTCCAGGAAGGAATCAGCTACCTGACTTTATCAGACCAGGGGGGAAAAACACCACAGCTAGAGATTGGCCTAAGCTTGACTGAAGGATGAGCAGAATGGGAGATGTAGAAAGGAATGAAGGGTCACCCCAGGTGAGGCAGGAGAACCCCACCCCCAGTTTCGCCATAGGTGGCATCTTACACTAGCAGAAAGATGACAGTATCTTCTCAGATACCTACATGCTGAGATGATCTATTTTTAAAAACAATCTAGTCCCATTTAAAACCCCCGGGGACATTTTTTCAAAAGGATAAGGAGAGCAGTTCCTTAATTATCATTAAACCTCAAGGCTGGATCCAGTCCCCCTCCCACAACTGCAGCCAAAAAAAGAAAAAAAAGAAAGAAAAGCAAGCAAGCAAGCCACTGCACCGACCTTTGTACCATAGCCTTTCTTCCTGCAAAGTTCTTTCTGGCTCCTCTGCCACCCACCCCACCCATCGCAATCCCCGGTTCCCTTTAGCTGAGTCTCTTCGCCCTTTTCCTAATAAAGTGCGCTTCTTCAGCGCTGGAGACAGCAGGGCCCCAGGGTCTGCGGAGTGGGAATTGCCCCTCCTAGGCTCCGGTCTCCCGGGCCCAGACAACACGTCGAGACTGCAGGTTCCATCCCTGTCATGGTACCCGAGTACCAAGTTAGCGGCGCCCAGGCGGGGGTCCAGAAAGAAAAGAAACACAATCATCGTGCCCAGAAGAGTCCGAGTGGATCTGGACAGAGCCAAACGCCCCGTGGTGCCTGGGCCGGGGTACCGGAGGACTCAGCGAGGGAAAGGCTGGGGCTGGTTCCCGGGTCCACGCACCCTCCTAGGGACTGCGGCCCCAGGGGATGACACAGCGTTTCCTCCGCACCCCTGGCTCTCCAGGTTTGTCCCAGCTCCATCTCTGCGGGGCACCGGCCAGCCGACTCGCTGCGTCAGGGAATTCCCGGCTGGGGGATGGGAGAGGCCGGGGAGCCGCAGAACTCGGCACGTGGTCCCACCCTGCGGTGCAGCGCGGACCCCACTTGCGGGTAGAGGAATGGAAGTATGATCGCGAGGTGCGGGAGCTGCACGGCGGCTCAGCCTGCAGCTCGGAAGGAAAGTCAGTCCTAGTCGGGGGAAAAGTTAGAAGGCATCCTGGCCACGCCAACTTCTCACCCAGGGCCGGGCCCGAACTTTGCACCGGGAGTGGGCGGCTGCACAAGCTGGAGCGACCCTGCAAAAGCAGACCGGACCCGGGCGCCCGGGAGTCCGGGCCTCGGTCGTCAGTAGCCAATCAAAGAGCGCCTCGGGCGAGAAGGACTGGAGGGCGCGGGCAGGAGAGGAGTGACAGAAACAACCGCCAATAGGAAGTCAAACTGGGAGTCCTCGCCCGGCCCATTGACCAATGGGAAAAGGGTGGTTGTGGCCGAGGTCCCCGCGGCACTAACTGCAGGCTCCGGTGGCCGCGGGTCGGAGACCCTTGGGCTAAAGGGGACTTTGGAGGGGAGTTTGCCAGCCCTTCCTATGCCACCCGCCGACATGCAGATCACAGCTCCGGTCCTCACCTGCTGGAAGCGGGGTTTACCCAGTTGGAAAGGCGGTGCATCGGTCGAAGCATTAGCGGCACTAGCTGCCGCCGCTGATGCTGTAGTCGCTGTATCCGCCATGGCCACTGACGCCCGCAATCCCCGGCCCTTTTAAAATGTCCCTCCTCGGCCCCCGCCACAGCTGCCTCTCCCGATTGGCCATGAGCAACCGCAGCAAGCAGGGCGCGCAAGGGGTTGTGGGAAGTGTAGTTTTTCTCTTCTCAGAATCTTGACAACCTCAGACTGCGGAGAGTTGCATCCACGCAGCCTCCGTCTCGGTGTTGCAGGGGTCGGTAGTACGGGAAAGGTATGTAAGCATGGCCCTGAGGTTCCGGTAGGGGAACACCGGGCGGCCCCTCGCTAGTAACCAGCCCACAGAAGTTTGGGTTGATGTCACAGAAGTCGTGCCTGAAGCAGCAGCCCAGAACAAGGGCCCTCCACCAATGGGTCTGACCCAGGAGTAGATGGGCAAGGACTCCAGGTGAAGTGGGGGTTAACTGGGAGGGCTTTCTGCAAGGACTTGCAATGCTGAATTTTCCTACAGTTGCTTGTATCACCACCCTACCTCCCACCCTGTGCTCTCCAGTCATACTAACACTCGGTTCCCAGAGTAAGCTGGGCTTTTGACACCCAATCCTTAATGCCCTCCACCTTCTTTGACCAACCAAGAAAGATCCCTCCTGGGCCTTACTTCTTGGGAGGAAGAGAACTGTCGGGGTGTGGGAGGGAGGTGGGGGGAGCCCGCTGAAAATAGGGTTAAGTAGCCTTGCAAGTACCAGCTCCAAGGACTTTAGATAAGGAGCAACCCCAGCAAGGATAGTAAACACTTCTACATAGAGCAGCTTAAGACTCCTTGTTGAATTTGGTCAGTGAACCAGACTGGGGGTATAAGGGGCTGCCTGTTTCACCGAAGACAGTGAAATTATTTTGGACTTGACTCTGGGAAACCTCACTTTGGGTCTTCTTAGTCTCAGGGTAAAGTGCAGGGTTGGCTCATGTCCGCCCAAATCTTTCTGAACCCTGCATAGGTTGTAGCACTAATGGCTGAGCAATAAGAAACAGAATTTTCCTTTAGCTGAAAAGAGAATCTAGCTAACTATAAGAAACAATTGTGTTTTGGATTTGTAATTTATCTCCCCCTACTAGACTTGACAAAGTAGCTTGAGAACAGAATTCAAGTCTTGCCATCTGTATTTCCTCACTGTACCAATAAACACGGCCATAATAGATGTCTAATTAATAGAGATCCTGTGAGTTGGTGAAAGATTGAGTCCCAGCCATTGGGCAACACTGTACTACTGCCCTGTGATATCATCGGTGAACCCCACCCACTTCAATTCAAGGCTGCCTTCTTCCACAGGCAGTCTCCTTCCCACACTCATTCCAAAACAGGAACAAGACAGACCACCTGCAGTATGTGAAATTTTATTCTTCATAAAGTGCTTGAAACATGAAGAACAAGCTCTTTATAAACAGAGGAGTTACAACTAGGAAGACAAACAGCTAAGCAGAATGGTACCTGCTTCCTGACCACCCCACGGCAGCTCTTCTCCATCTTGTGGCCAGAACAGAAACATCAAACAAGAATCCTGGGTTTCAATTCAAACCTTCTTCTAAAGACACCCCTGCCCTGAGCACATGAGAGGCCCAACATCAAGGATGGTGAAAGATCAGGACTGGAGCTGGGATCACCTAGAGCCCAGAGGAATACCTAGTAGGGGAGTGATCTCCTTACTCGAGAGACACCTCTACCCCCAATCACTCCAAAAAACATAACTGAAAATCTGGACACCTATGGATACTTTTCTCAGCTATGCTGAGTGGACATTAAAGATGTCAACTCTGCAGGGGCTTTCCCCCATGTATGGGGCTCCTGTGCATCCTGGCAGAAGACTGACATCACCCACAGAGCCCATCTCCTATGAGGCCTTCTGAGTGAGCCCACAGGCTCTCATGAAGAAGGGAGCCCCAGAAGGGCTCTTGCCTCTTCAATGGGCCAAAAGTACCCTCCTTTGGCATCTTCTCACCTCCCACCCTTTGCTAATGCAGGATGCCCAAGCCACCAAAGGGTCCCTGCAGATGTCATGGGGATAGCCTACTATGCTTTCCATAAGCAAACCAGGGGCTGAGCCAAAGGGCAGATACTTCATTTCAAAGTGCACTGCAGCCAAGCCAGGCAAGGTGCTGGGGATGAAGGGACAGGCCAGGACAGAAGCTTAGTGGATAGGTGGGAGGGCAACAAAGGCTTTTTTCTCTATGTACAGGTGTCTCCTAAGGCATAGTGTGCCCTCCCACTTCCAGAGCAGCCAACTGCTGCTTGGTTGAGGCCTGACAGAATGAGAGTGAGCAGAGCAGCCTCAGGCCTGCTCCCATCAGAAGTTTTTATCCTAGGATCTGCCTAGGAGGGAAATGGGCAAGACGGCAGGAAGGCTGAGGAGGCAGCAGCACTTGGCCAGGCTCTTAGCTGAGATTAACTCTGGGAAGGGAAGAGCACAGAGCAAGGCTACCTCCAACCCCTCTTCCCCTTCCCAGAGCCACCCCCAAGTGCTCAACAGGAGGAGGATGCCACCAGGAAGGAAAGGTCTACATCCAGAGGCTCTTGACCCCACCCGCAAAAGGCACGTTTTAATTTGTTTCCAAAAGTTCAAACCCTGCAGCAGCACAGAGTTTTGGCATCTGGACAGACAATAAGAACAGATGTGGAGGCTTCATCCCCAAAACAAAAGCAGCCCAAAGCTCAGACCTGGACAGGTCCACACATCAGAGGTGGGTGAGAACCTGAAAAGCAAGGAGCTCTCCCCTGACCCAACCCTACCTCCACAGTCACCCATGACACTCAGTGGAAAGTTCCAGAGAAGGGCAGGGAGCAGCCTGGAGAGCACACAGCACCACCTCCATCTATACTGCACCCCTGATGCAAGCAGCTCCAAACAGAAACAGACTCAGGACGCAGCAGAACAGACCAGGCCACATGGGCTCCCTGCTCTCGGGGATGGGCACGGGGCAGGAGAATAGGCACACTGGCTGCCTACAACCTACAAACAGGCAAATTGGTCCTGTCCCAGTCCCAGCAATACTAGGAAATGAAGAAGATGAGGGATTGGCCATGGGAAGGAATGGCTGACATCCTTGGAGGATAATAAAGTCTGTGCTACAGCAGTCTGGTCCCAGATACCACATCAAACTGCAGCTCTCCCTGTTCCATCTTGGGGGCTAATTTCCCTATTCCAATTTCTTGGAGCCCCCAAAGCTAAGGGTTATGAAAACAGGCAGGTGGGAAAGACTGAGCGCTCCCAGAGACGCATGGTAGTAAAGGAACCTGAGGCTCTAACAGGAGTCCAAGGGCTCACTTCCAGCAGCCCCAGTAGAGGCAGGAGGGAGAGGGAGCATGGAGTGGCCAGGAAGACAGACTGCACCCCGTCCCAGATGAGAATGTGCTCAGCAGGAGGGAGGGTGGACGGACAGGTGGTCACAGCCCCTGTCTGGGTAGCAGGTCCTCACCAACCCTCTAGGGATGGGGACAAGGGAGGCTACTTGGGGGGCCCAGGGGGGATCTGCAGCAGTGTGGGTGAGGTCTCCATGATCCGCACCAGCAGCCGGTCAATGTAGCTCTCCAGCTCCTGCACATGCTCATCCCGCTGGCTCAGCTCCCGCTCCCGCTGCAGGAGCAGGCCAATGAGTTCGTCGTGGGTCAGATGGTAGTACTTGGCCGACTGGTCCAGCACAGCAGAGTCCTGAAGCCAGATGGAATGAGAATAAGCAGAGCAGCCCCTGGCCTACTGCCCACCTACACCCCAGTACCCCATCACAGGCCCCAGAGCTAACTGTTTCAGATGCCAGAGACGGGCTAACCAACTTCAGGACTGTGGCATGGGGACCTGGCCTGCTCACTCTTCCACCCTCCCAATGCTACAGGCCCCTCCACAGCACCATGTTCTGTCAGATTGCCCCTGGCACCCTGGGTCTCACCTTCAATCTCTTGGTGTCCACCATCTGGCCAAGCTGGGGTGCCGGAGCCACAGGCTGAATACCACCAGATGTGACTGTTTTGAGCTTCTCCAGCCCACTGCTCAGAGCTGTGCTCAGACTGGAGCGGGACTGCTTCCTATCAGAAATGCCCTCTGCAGGGACAGCACTGAGGGGCTTCACGGGGTGGGGACTGCAAAGACAGACAGAAGATGGGTTATGAGGGGAGAAGGGTGGCACTGGGAAGGTGGGACCACCTTCTCTGTAGAGCCCAAGGTCTGCTGCACAGCTGAGGTCTCTTGGGCAGCAGCACCCTGCATGCCTCAATCTGCGTCCCACCACATGCCCTCTCCACATTTCATTCCCCCTTTGACCTAATGACCTGGTTCTTTGGCAGAGGCCACTCTACAAATTTCTGCATTGTACTGGGAATTTGCCAGGGACACCAGCCTCCAGCCATTCTCCCTTCCTCCTCTTCTATACTTTCTCTAGGGAGGTAGCCAACCTTCCCAGCTTCCCCAGGACTGTGGGGATTCCCAGAACATGAGATTTCAGAGCTAAAACCAGGAAAGACCTGGGCAAACTGAAGTTCTTGGCCTTGCCATAATCACTTGTGCACCCAGTCAGGCTTATGAGTCCCCCTCAACCTGTACTTGCTCGCTCACCCTCAGTCATCACCACTTTCCTCAAACCCAAACCGCTCCAGAGCACGGATGCCACACTGTGTATCTAATTTCTTACCTTTTGTTGACTCCTCAACCCATGAGAACAGGACCTCAGCCCAGCACAGGAGAACCTGCTGTGGCAGTGGGCCTGGCATCTCCCTCTGGAGTCCAAGTCCACACCTGTACTACTCCTTCCTTTGGGCTGCTCTCCCTCCTCTTGCCCCAATACCTCCACCTGAGGGCCTTATCTCAGGCTCAACTGCTGGTCTGCCCCTGGTGTCTCTCCCCTTCATGTTCCCCCTGACCCAGCCTCCCACCCAAGTCTCCAGCTCCAGCCCAGACCTCACTTTCAGGCTCTAGACCAGTGCAAACAGTTGCAGGCTGGCTCAATCGCTCCCTCATGATCCACCTCTGGTGCCACATGCTCTCCTCCCACCTGCCTTTTCCTCTGAGCTCCCCCAGCAGAGAGCCTCCCAGGGCCCAGTCAAAAACCTGGGTGTCCTTCTGACTTGTCCCCTTCAGCCTCAGCCTTCATCAATCAAGCCCCGCCACCTTCCTACCTTCTCTCAAGCCATCTTCTCCTCTTCAAGCCAGGGCTAGCTACACATTTCCTCCAGCCACAGCTAACAGCTCTGCCAAGCAAATCTTGCCTACTTCCAACCACCTCCCACTCTGCTGCAGGATAATGATTTCACCTTTCCACCCTTCAATGGCTCCCATCAAAGTGAGAACACAATCTAACAAAACCTGGGGCCTGCCCTTTCCTCATGGCCCACCATTCCCCAGCAAGAAAGAGAAAGAGTGCTATCTGTTAAGGACCTCATAAAAGCTAGTCCTGTATCTGAAGTATTGCCATTTCCTCCCACTGGCCTATTCCTACTCCTGTTTCAAAGCAGTGCAAAGCCACCTCCTCCAAGAAGGCTTTCTGATTCCCCAGGCTAAGATGAGCCTCTTCTGGGCTCCCCTGCACTTATAACACTTATATAAGCTATAAGCATCAGGCTCTCAAATCAGCCAACCTGTCCTTGGGGGACCTCTTACAAATTTATGCTCCCCCTACAGAGGCTTTAGGCCATTCAGAAGTTGGAAGCAAAATGGCCCAAAGACCCAGAGAAGCAGCTCTGTTACTTGGGGTAGTGCTGCAGATTCAGTCACACAGTATTGGAAGAGTGGCCATGTGCCCAGCAGCAGGGCAGAGTAGGGAAAAAACCAGGCGCTTAACTGCCACCTAGGAATCCACACTAGAAATGGGTATGACAACACTTCTAAGGGGGCCATCTATGGTGGTGCAGGAATGGATGACCAGTACAGCAAAAAATACCCTAAGTGAGTTGGCAGCAGGAAGCCTGGGCTCCAGTCCAACTGCCCCACATCTGAAGGACCTTGGTCCCTGCAGCTCTTATCTGAGAAATGGGGTTAGCTCTGCTTCACCATGCAAAGCACAGACATGAAGCCAACTCTGAAAAGACAAAACTTTCAAAAAATGGCATGTGTAATTAAAGGTCGTGCTGGAGGCTGGGGACCAGCTGACAATGCTGTGATCAGGAAGCAAAGAAGCTGCAACCACCAGCTCCCTCGCCTGCTCCCCCTATCACAGGTGGCACAGCACTACCCACAGCTGGAGGAGAAAGGTGGGGCATCCAGACTCCCTCCCACCCACTTCTCAGTGCCAGCAGTTGCCCCCAAGGCCTTTCATTCTGGGACCTGTCTTCCCCACTGGACTGGGAATTCCTTGGGTCTGACATAGAGCAGATGCTCAGGGAACTCAAGTGACTAATGTGTGAGCTAATGAGGGATGAAGGCCTGACCGTTCCCCAGGGCCCATGTGCTCATCAGGAGCAGCAGCCCCTCTGCTCACCACTCCTTAGAATGCTCCTGGTCCCCTGGACTCTGCAGCCAGCTGAGCCACACTTACCATATCCCAATCCTGAGCCTCTAGACCTGTGCCCCCGACACCCTACACCTGCAACCCCAAACCAAGGCCCAGTGACCAGAATCACACAGGCCTCCTTGGTCCACTCAGTAGTCCTACTGGCCCTAGAGGCTGGTACCTCTGAAAGGCAGGAAACCAAAGACAGACAAGTGGCTAATGCGCTGCAGAGGCAGAAAGCCTTCTTTTACCACATGTGAGAAGCATTTTAGCTTTCCTCTCTCTCCTCTGAGGGTTTCTCCCACTTCCTCTCTGACCTTTGACCCTCCTCTGGTTCTCTGGCCCAAGTCCTCACCTCACCTGGACATAAAACAGTCCGCAGCTTCACTGCCAGCCTGCTCCCCCACCGCCTGTCAGAAGAACTGGGTGGACCTCCATGTTTAACAAGCTCCACTCCTGTCCGCAGTCCCCCTGCCTTGCATGCAAGGCTCTCACCCCCCTCCTGCCAGCACGTACTGCTCTCCCCAACTTTGTTCCCTACTCCCTCCTCCTTGTCAGTGTTATCCCCCAAACTCCCGGCTTATGGGGCCACCCTGATTGTCCAAGGCCCCATGATGGAGGCAGCTTCAGGGCTGGTACCAGAGAAAGCTCAAGACTTCACAGCCTCCACCATCCTGCCTAGGGTAGAGCAAACCCTCTCCTGCCCTTAAGCAAGGAGGAGGCTGGGATGTGAACACCTCACCCACTGCTATACTGGGCCCCATTCCCATTCCTCCTGATGGGAGGTGGATGCTCACCTGGCACGGGGCTGTAGCTCCTCAGCTGGTCGTGTCTCCAAGGGCAGAAGCACAAGCGGGGAGGCTGGGGTGGCTGCAGCGTGGTCTTCCCCTTCAGGGGCAGGGGAGCCTCCAGGAAGGGAGGGCTCAAAGGGGTGGGGGGGTGAGGCTGACTCCCCGGGGGGTGGGGAGGTAGAGGTCAGGGGCCAGGCTCCAGGCAAGGGAGAGCACAGAAGGCCTGGACCCACATGGCGGTGACTGGCCCAGGGCGGGAGAGGGGGCGGAGGAAAGGCAGGTTCTGGGGGCGTGGGCAGCTCTTCCGGACCAGAGTGGATAGAGGATTCCCTGGACCCTGGTGGGGATGTAGATGGGAGGCTAGGGGGATCTCGGCTCTCCTGAGACAAGAAGGGTCTCAAGGCATCCTCTGAGGCCCACAGATCAGCCTGCTGGGGGGTGACTGACAAAGGCCCAAGCCTCTCTCCGACTGGCCCCAGACTCTGGGCCTCAGAGCCTTCTCCCCTGTCTAGAGTCCCTGCAATCTGCTGACTGGGCAGTGCCAAGCTTAATGAATTACAGGGAATGGGGACATGACCCTCAGGGCACCTGATGGGCACAGATGGGCAGGCCCCAGACCTAGAGGGGCTGGCATCCTCTACTAGCTCCTCCAGACCTGGCTCACCTAGCAGGGTCCCAGATGACCGGCTGTCAGACTCCTCTGAGTCAGGCTTCCTGCCCTCCCCCTTGGTCTCTAATGGACCAACAGTGAGTGCATCTAGGGTAGAGTTTTCTCCTCCTGCCCCTGCTCCCCAGCTACTCAATCCCCCTGCAGCCTTCTCTTGTTCCTCCTTGTCCTCCTCCACTTGAGAATTTGAGGGTGTGAAGAGGCGGGGTGGCTTGGGAGGCGGTGTGCTGGGCCTCAGCCCCTCCTCCTGCTCCTGCTGGGGTTTAGGCTCTGGCTCCGGCTCTGGCTCCGGCTCTGGCTCCTCTGGCTCTGGCTCCAGGGGGGGAGGCCCCTTGCTTCCCTTGAGGATCACAGTTTCTGGTGACTCTGCTTGCACCCGGGGAGGAGACAGCACATTAGACTCTCCTTGCAGGACAGTTGTAGAGGCCATCTCAGTTGCAGGAGAAATGGTGACCACATCCCAAGGCCAGGAATCATCTGTATTGAGCTCATGGAAAAGCTGATTTTCACCTCTGGGGGCCTCCTCATCCTGGCCCTCAGGAGTGTCACCTGAACCTGGTAGCCTCTCCCACACACTGATCACTTCTGGAGAGCTGAAAAGAGATGTCCCACTGTCTGCTGGACTCTGTCCAGCTCCCACTTCTGGGTCCGGCGGCTCCCTGTCTGGTGCTGAGGTCGAGGCTCTCAGTTGCGGCTGGGCTGATGCAGAGGGCAGGCCAGGCCCAGCTGACCCAAGGGGCCCTGGGTCAGATGCACTTGTGTTCTGCTGGTCCAGTTCAGAGTCCAGAGGAGCCCCAGGCTCCAGCCACATGCTGCTCCCACCTCTTCCTCCCCCAGGGTCTCCCTGGGGCTCAGCTGCCTTCACTGTCAAGGCCCTGGGGCCTGGGGCCTGCAGCCCAGCCGCCTCCAGCCCCACTCCTTCAGGGGCCAGGATCTCGCTCCTGGCCTCCGGATGCAGCCTGCCAGCAGCAAAGATGTTGAAGGTGTCGTCCCACTCAGGCAGGGCTTTCCCAAGGGAGGCCAGGGGGGCGGGGCTGGCCCTCGAGGCACTGGGGAGAGAGGGAGCAGGTGAAGGAGAGTTTAGTGCTATGTCGGCTATGAGCTCCTCGAAGAAGGGGTTGCTCTGCAAGGAGGTGAGGAACGGGTTGGTGACACCCAAGAATCCAGATGGGGTGGCTTCGGGGGTGATGGTGGCGGTGGCAGCAGCAGGGGAGGCGGCTGCAAAAAGGTTAGTGCTTAGCATGGGAGCAGCGGTGGGAGCAGGAGTGGGGGGGGCCGGAGCCCAGGGGGAGCAGGGGAAGTGGTGAGGAGCAGCTGGGTCAGGTTCTACCTGAGGAGACACGTCCAGGCTGTGGAGGGAGACAAAACCATGAGCCTCCTGGTTAATGCTGAGACTGGAAAAGGCCCTGCCGAGTACCACGCCCCCACCCCTGCCTCAAGACCAGGTGCCACGGCACTACTTGGGCCAGGGGCCAGAAGGAAGATCCAACATATGACTTTATTAGGCACCACCCAAGGAGAAGGGTGCTGGGCACAACTAACTTAATCCTCACACCGACCCCCATCTTACAGCAGGATCCAAACCTAAACCAAGTGTTCCCTCCTCTGTCCCATGCTGAAGAGTCTTTATCAAATTTACACTTAACTCTTTGTCAAATTTATACTTCAAAAACAACTGAAAGTACCTGGCATCTCTTTTAGGACTGAGAACAAAGACACCAGCCAGCTTGGAGGGGAGAGAGAACAGAATAAGGCCAGGCCTGGGTATTTGGCTGGACAGGGCCGGCACTAAGAGAACCAAGCAGGACACCTGGAATTTGGGCTCCTGAAACAAACTGGGCTGCACTGATTCCCTGCAGAAGCAGGTAAGGATGGACTGTCATCCAGCATGACAAGGTGATCATCAAAGAGGACGGCCCATCTCATTTTTGTGAGGGGCAACCTAACCCACCAGGGAAGACAGGCTCCTGCAGAGGACACCTGCTGTTGGGTATCCACACAGCCTAGCGCCTGCCCATGGTGCCCCCTCACCTCACCTCCCTTGTGGATCAGCCCTGGGAGATGAAGAATAGGGAAATAATGGCCACAGCAACTCTGTATAAATCTCCAGGGTCCCCACACAGATCTCTGGCCACCCTGAGGGCAGGGGCATGACAAAGCAGGGACAGGGTAGGTCCTCTCAAGAAACCCGTTCCTTAACAGTGAACCTACAGTCCCCCCAAACACAGGAGACCACCACAGGGTCTTCCAGCACTTCAGCCATACCTATGAACAAAGCCCATTCCAGAGATGCCTGGGCATACTCTAAACTTAGAGCTTTTGCTGCCCCAAGACACAGACTGGAGGCCAGAAAAACTGGAGGAGGAAAGCAGAACAAACACTAGGGTTTCCTGGAGTCTAACAGGAGTTACAGCTAAGCCCACAGTCAGACCTACACCTGGTGGCCTCACCACTGCTCTAACAGTCTCACTCCTCGTGGCTGGCATCTGGCCCCCTCTCCAAGCTCCCAAGGCCCACTCCTAGACCTCTGCCTGCCTAGGTGGAAACATCAGAGGGAAAACTCCACACCCATCTTCTCCATTCAGTTTCTTCTACAAGAAATGTGGGTGGTAAACCCTGAGGCAGCAGAAGCCAGGCCTCACCAGATGGTCCATGAGAAATGCAGGCTGGGGGAACAGGGCATCAGTGGAAAGAGGCTGAGCTGTCTGGAGCTTGCCAGGGTCCAGACAGGGCAGGCCTGCACACAGAATCAAGCAGGCAATGGGAAGGAGTTCAGTCAACCAGAGGCAAAGGTGGATCCCAGAGACAGGAGTAGGGAGGGCGGGTCACAGCCAGGTCTGGGACATCTCTCTCCCAGTTCCTTTGTGATGAGTGGCCTAAATGACCTGGGAATGAGGGCCTCATTAACCCTGCAGCCTCAGCCTGGCCCCCCACTCACCCAGGAAGTTTCACAGGAGCCTGGTGGCAGTCACCACTACAAGAGGAGGAGCACCAGGAAGGCCAAGCCAGGCTCAGCAGCCTCCCTCCCCACCATGGCTCTCCAGAGACGAACATGAACTCGTTGGTATGGAATCCACTAAGGGCTCTCCCCAGAGAACGGGGCTCTGGGTACAAGGCGCCAGGCACAGCAGGCTTCCCAGAGCAGGGGTGCCTGAGAGCATTCTGTACATCCTGGTCTCCAGAACACTCTCCCCTTCATCTGTCCTCTCCCTGTCAACACCAAGGGCACGTTCTGAAGGGTCTCACTTCAAAACATCCTCTCCCTGCCAGTACTCCTGGCACAGGTCAGAAGCACATTCCCTTGTGTGGTCCAACTCTGTAGGCTGGGGTCTGAGACCAGAGAAAATTTTTCTAAGTCCTGGAACCCACTGTACTAGCCACCCCTAAGAAGTGGGGACAAAATTATGCTGACTTATCTTCTCATTTAGACCCAAATGTTGGGGCGAGAAATCAGAAGACCAAATAACTCTGCCCCTTTAATCTGGGGGATAAAATGTTAGGACACACAGGAACTTGGGATGATGGGCAGGAACCTGCGACTTAATGTAAATCACCTATTCACTTAGGTAAATAGAAGGCATTTTATTTATTTATTTATTTTGCAGTACTGGGGCTAGAACCCAGAACTTCAGGCGGCAAGCATTCTACCACTGAACCCCACCCTCGTGACCTGCCACTGACTTAAACACCAAACTTCCCACCACCTCTGTAGCTAGGGGGCAACTTTCACTAGTAGCCACTCTTCCTTAGGCTGAGATGAGTTCTGTGTCCTTGTCCCATGCATTATTCCCAACACGGCAAAAATGGACCTGCATAGGCCTTCCACCAAGCAGTCCCACAGGGGCCAAAGCCAGCCTTCAAGGCACACCCAGCCCCAGCCAGTGTGCACTTCCTGCCATCCCTCCTCAGGCATAGCCTCCTGGCGTCCTCCTGAGATGTGCCCCAGTGTCCAGGAAACCTTACCAGAAAGCTAGGCACACACTCTCCCATCATCTGTCACAATAAGGTGATAGACAGGACCCTTATAAGTTATAACTAGGAAGACTCCATCATTTCTTCCAAATGAAAATACTTTCAATATAGTAACTATGCCAAGAAACCAGACACAAACTGGACAGAAGGCCTGACCAACTCTTAACTGGGCACATATCACAGTTTTCATTTACACCACCCAGGACACAGCCAGAAATATTGTGCCCCTCCAGCAATCATAGCACATCCCAGGCCCACAGGGACCTGCTGTCCCCCACATCTGGGGAAGGGCTGAGGAAAGGCAGAGATGCCAAAGGCCACTGTAATGACTCAACTGCCCCTCTGTTGTACCAAACTTATGTCCCCACTTTTTTTTGGGGGGGGGGGTGTATTTGCATTTGATTCCTTCCAGTGCTCAAAGTTCTAGGGTTAGCCTGATTGGGGATGGGGGGCGGATGAGGAAAACAAGGAACAGGCAGAAAAACAATCTACTCTGGCATTGACAGGTTAACATGAGCGGCTGCTGCCTGCCCTCAAGCACACACTAAATTGCTCAGCACAAATGACTTACAGCAGGGTCAGAGAACACTGATAAATTCTACGACCCAGATGGGAGTCAGTCTCAACTACCTCTCACTGTCCCTCCTCCACACAAGCAGGGGCCCAGAGTAACAGCCCCAGACCAGCAGACTAGGGTCACGTCAGAAGGACCTTCTCTGCTCCTCCGGCCTCCATTCCTTCTCTATCAACCTGTGTTTGGCAACAACAGTGCAAGCGGACATTCAGCTTCAGGCCGCTCCATAGGGCACTGATGCCACATGGAAGCACTAGAGGGCGCCATTGCCCTGGCTAGAGAGGAACACCCAGAAATCTACAATAGCCCCAAGGGCAGAAGCACCCCAAACCCTAGGCCTACAGACAGGCTCCTCATGTTCCAGCTGGAGATCCTGCAGCTGCATTCAGCTACTACAGTTCTGAGTCTAGCCTACAGCCTATGGCTGCTGTGAACTGTCCCACCTCTCACTGTCTCCTCAGAAGCCCTAAGCAACCATTCCAAGTCAGAGACAAAAACCATTTCTTACAGGCCAGGTTTCCCTTCCCTGTAAGGCATATGAGGCAGGGTGCTGCTCCAGGCCAGGCACTTAACCAGAATAGTTCCTCCCACCCTACCTAGATGTACCACCAGGACCTACCCTGTAGCTGCTACCTGCTAATGATCCAGGGAAGACAGGGATCCCTGGGAACCCTCCAGCCTACTGGGAACAAGGCTCATGATTCAACTGTGAGCAGAACCTCAGCTTCCTTACATCCATTAGCGACCCAAATTCTCCAGACTCTGAAAGGCCATTAAAAGACATGGGGACACAAAAGGAAAATGGAGACTGGAGGGAGCCCAGAAGATAACAACCGCCCAATATCATTCTCAGTCAGTCTGCAAGAGTCTGAGCCCAAAGCCTGAGTTCTCACCTACAAACAATCTCACAGAGATACAAGAGTATCCAACGTGCCCTGAAAAAGATCCAGATCCTCTACAGACAATAGCACTGATCCTAAAGTTTGTGCCCTTCTGCCCCATGCCCCCAGCTCCTCCCAGCAAATGCCCTGCCCACCACCTCTGGTACCTCTGGTTGTTATAGGACCACCAGGCTCAGTCTGGCAACCTGGCAAAGACCTACCCAATTCTTCCCAAGAGTCCCCTAGGCTACAGATGGCCAGCAATCTCCTAGGCATTGGTGGGTAGGGGCTGGGAAGAAGGCACAGGACCAGCTGTACTAAGCAGGGGAGGCAAAGGGCAGCATCACCCTGAGACTAATCCAGCCCCAACACCCCTTGCATATGAACCTCTAAAGAGGACCACCATCTGGCCTGGCCCCAACCCAGGAAGGCCCTGTACCTCACCCCCTCCTCCTCTCAGCAGACTCAATTTCCAAAGGAAAGAGAAAAAGCAGGACTATAGGATTCCTCGCCCCTCTGTTGAAGAACAGGTGCAGGGTCCTCCCTCTCCTCTATCTCTTGACCCTTCACCACTGGCCCAGTATTCCCACGTGTCCCTACATCCATCCAGAGGGGAGGGCAGGCTTGCTGAGGGACTGAAACAACCGGCCTTCCACACTGGCTAGGGCTGCTACTTATGCTGCCATCCAGGCAGGTCCAGGCCCTTGGGAAGGGGAACACAGGCTTCTGTGACCTACATCTGAAGTTCCTCCCTGGACCTGCCAAACAATGCAGCAGCCTCCCCTGGCTCAAGGCAAGGGGGCCACAAAGGGGCCAGGGTAGAGGTCAGGTTTCTGCCTGGGGACCAAGCTGTGGAACTTGTCACATTCAAAAGACAGTAACTGTGATCAGTAACTGTGATCAGCACTTCCAACAGTGCTATACTTCAAGACCACCAGACACTAGAAAGGGCCTGAGCCCAGGAGGCGGGGGCTGGGGGACTATATATTTCAGGAAAGCTACCATGGCCTCTTGCCAGGCTAGGAAACAACTGGGAGTAAGGAGAAGCAAAAGCAACAATTGTTTGACCCCTATTCCTTAGCAGGAAGAGGTCCCAGAGCCAGCAGGGCAGCTGAAGTGAAGTCATCTAGCTTCAGCAAAGGTGAGGTGTCCCCTGTTCCCACCTCACTACTTGCTAAGGCTTTCTCACCTTGAGATTAACGGGCAAGAGGTGGAGAGGTAAGGAAGCCAAGAATCTATTAAAGATAACCCCTTCTTGATTTTCTCCTATCTGTCCCTCCCTCAGGAACTGGGCATGCTAACTCAGGCAGCAGGGACAAAGGACAACCTCCACTGACAGGACCCGCAGGACACTGTGATCTTGCAACTTACCTGTGTCCACGTGCACAGAACGAGCCTTAGCTTAAGGAAACAGGGTACCCCCACTTAACCATGCGAAGCCAGCAGCCTGCCCGAGGGTCACGTTTGCTCCCTGGTCCTGCCCCAGGTCCCAGGCAGCAAACACCTCAGCATCCTCCCCAAGGAGCAAAGCTAGTCTTGCTAAGGACGTACCTGGGTTTATGAGTTGGTTCCTTGGCTTCTCTCAGGCCAAACCAGCTACTCTTGGTCTTTTCCTCCCCACTGGATGAGTGGTGGGGGGAGGCCCCCAGGGCAGGACCTCCCTTTTCCCCCACAGAGCTGCGGCGTCCCAGCTCACTCCGACTCAGCCCCTGGTGGTGGTGGAAGAGGCCCATCCGGGGCTTCCGCTCTTCCTTTCGAGCTCCCTCCTTCTCTACCACAGCCTCAGAGGAGGCCACCATCGGTGTGGCAACCTGGACCGGCTTTCCTTCTGGATGCCGGACCCCTTCCACGTCTCCAGAATGGCTAGCCCCAGTGGCCAATACTTTGGCTTGAGTGCCCAAGTCCTCTTGTCCAGGCGCCACCTCCGAGCTGCTGGTGCCACGGCTGCTTCTGCCCCAGGAGTCCTCCGAGGACCGAGGCACCTCCTCAGAGGGCCGGGAAGAGACACCAGGGAGGGAGCTGGAGGGTGGGAATGGGCCTGAGATGGAACTGCGGTGCCGCAAGGGGGCCTGGGGCTCCTCATTGTAGATGTGGCTCCCATTGACACAGAGGGAAGAGCGGGAGGCAGCATCAAGGTGGCCCTGGAGGTCGAGAAGGGCCCGGGGAGGTGCCACACGCATCTGGCTAGCCTCATCGCTGTAGGTCCTCTTGTGAGAGAGCAGCTTGGGAGACTGTGTGGAATCCCTGCCTGAAAAGGAGACATAACTGTAGTTAGCACAGGGAAGGGAGCCCCATTTCCCAGCCCCAGGTCTTCCTTACCAGGGGGAGAGCCTGCCCTCCCCCTCCCTTCCCCAGGGCATGTGGCCCCAGCTCCCTCACCCTCAGTGGACAGCCAGCTGCTGCGGCTGGGAGAGCGGGTGAGAAGCTCGGCACCAGGGCCCTGGTAGGCCAGGCTCCCGCTGGCCGAGGACAAGGTGCTGTCTGAGCCCAGTGAGGTATTGGACTGGGTCAGGGATGACTTGCGCAGCTTGTTTCGGAGGAAAAAGCCTTTAGCTTTGCCCATCTTGCCCAGGCTGCCCAGCTCTGGATCCTCGAGGGCACTGCTTGGGAGGATGGCAGAAGAAGATTCCAGATCAAACTTCTTCTTGCCCTTCATCTTGTCCTTGAGCTTGCTGAAGGGAGACCGTGGCTTGTCCTTCATGGACAGGTCAAACATGCTGGCACTCAAGTTGTTGCGAGTGAACTGGATGGTGACTTGGATCTCTCCGCGTTCCTTCTCCTTCTTGCCCGTCTTGGAATGCAGCTTATACCATCTATGAGAATGGGGGGATGGGCAGAGCTTTGGTCACAGGCTCAATGCACCTGGCTCCCCCCAGTGCCAGGCACCTCACAGAGCCTCCCCACAGACTCCTGCTCTGACATGCCAGCCCAGGCTGCCAAGCCACACAGCTAAGAAACTCCCAAACGTTTCCCATGGAAGAGAACCACATCCTGAGTGGGGGAAGGTCCTTGGGTGCACTCAAGCAGGGCACTGGTTGCCATGCCATGCCCCTCCCGCCAGCACCTTCCCCTCTGCTCAGAGACCCATGCTGTCCCATGCCCCTCTGAAACTCTGAGGCCCAGAGGGGTGAGGCTGGATCTGGGAGGGACTGCCATTTATCCAGGCCCACACTTCCTCTGGTTCACATCATCTCCTCTGGCTAGTCCCAGCCAAAGAACTACTCTTAGCTCTCAGAAAAGAACAGCTCACTCAAGAGGCCCAGGGCCAGGAACACGGGAATGCCAGTGCACACACACCCCTCACCCACACACTGACTCACCCCAAGTCCTGCCAGGAACACCTCTGAGAGATGGAAGGGCAGAAAGAACAGCAAGAGGCCTGAAGCAATGGACCCAGGGAGGAGGAACACTCACTTGCCAAGCCACATGGATGTCATACCTCACTCCCATTCACACCTCATGAGCAGCTCCTGGGGAGCGGACACCACCCCGGTCTACAGCTCGGGAGAGTGATACTGCGGTAAAGTAGGAAGCAGACGGGAGAGGGGAGACTCCAAGTCAGGTTTTCATCCCAGGGAAGCCCATGTTCTTTCTACTTTCCACTTCCCAGGGAGACAAAAAGGGAGACCCCAACACACATGACCTTGGTGCAGAGTGAGGGGAGTCTACCCTACTGTAGAAGAGGCTGAGAGTGGTGGCTTGGGAGCTTCTTAGAAAGCTAAACATACTCTTGCCATACAAGGAGTAATTGCATTCCTTGGTATTTACCCTACCAAGGTGAAAACCTATGCCCACAGAAAGACCTGCTCACAAATGTTTATGGCACCTCTAGTTATAAAACTGCCAAAACATGAAAACTGCCAAGATGCCCTTCAGTAGGTGAATAGATAAACAAACTGGTACATCCAGACAGTGGAATGTTATGCAATGATAAAAAGGAATGAGCTGTTGAGCCATGAAAAAACATGGAAAGATTATTTATTTATTTGGGTTTTTGTTTGTTTGTTTTTGTTTGTTTCATGGAAGAATTTTAAATGTGTAAGTAAAAGAAGCCAGTTTGAAAAGTCTTATATGATTCCACTACGACATTCTGGAAAGGCAAAACTACAGAAATAATAAAAAGATCAGTGTTTACCAGCAACTTAGAGGAAGGGAGGAAGGGATGAAGAGGGAGAGCACTGGGGCTTTTTATATTTAGGGCAGTGGATCAATCCTGAAGGACACTATCATGGTGAACACATGTCATTTTACATTTGTCAGACCCCACAGACTGTACACTACATGAAGAGTGAACCCTGAGGTAAACTGTAGACTCTAGGTAATAACAATGTCCTGATGTTGGCCCATCATTCGTAGCAAACCTGCTACACTATGGTAAGACATTAATAAGACAGGAAATAATTGGAGACTCTTGGGGTAGACGGGAAGGAAATAATGGGGGCTGTAGGGGTGTATGGGACTCACATACTTTCTACTCATTTTTTTGGTAAACCTAAAACTGTTCTATATTAAAAAAAAATTCTAATCTGGCTGGGGATGTGGCTCAAGCGGTGGCGCGCTCGCCTGGCATGCGTGTGGCCCAGGTTCGATCCTCAGCACCACATACAAACGAAGATGTTGTGTCCGCCGAAAACTTAAAAAAATATATATATATATTAAAATTCTCTCTCTCTCTCTCTTTAAAAAAAACTTTAATCAATTTAAAGTAGAATAGAGAAAGTAAAAATGAACTATGAAAGAAATAATACAAGAAAGCTTTCCTGAACATGAATATCAGTGCCGGTACAAATGCTCCCCAAGTATGCAGCACAATGAATAAAATAGACCCATGCCCTCAGTGTCACTGAGATCCCTTTTCCCTTTCCTTTCTTTTTGATAAGGCCTCATTATGTGCCCAGGCTGAGCTCAAACTTGAAATCCTCCTGCCTCAGCCTCCCAAATAGCTGGAATTGTAAGCGTGCACCGGTGTGCTCAGCTTTCACTGTGAGATTTCTGAACACCAGGCCTGAAAAGGAAATCCTAAAGGCCTCCACCGAGGGGAAATAGGATCATGCGCCAGGAATGAAAAGTGTCCAGTCCTTGCTAGCCACACTGGGCATTGTATGAAGTACACCTCCAAGTGCCCGACAGAAAGCTTTCCACCTACCTAGAGTTCTAGACCCAGCCCATCAAGCATGAAGGCAAAATAAGGTCTAGCAACTGTGGTCAGTTTGATCATCAAAGGGCTCGAAGTCCCTTGATGCACACACACTCCTCAGTAGCAGTATGGTAGCCATTCCTCTTTGGGATCCACCTACTGTACAGTCCTCAGCTCCCTGAGCTTCTGCAGGACATAGGGGGTTGAGAGCAGAGTCCTTTGTATGAAAAATCCCTACACATCCAAATATCCAGAATTAAGTCATGGATGGCACAGACTTGGTAGTGCTGGCAATTTCTTTGTTGTTGTTTAACACTTTTTTTTAAGGCTGTCCCAAGAGCACTTCCAAATTGCCTCCCTTACGAAGAGTTATTGTGACTGAACCTTCAGGTGCTCATCTTGAGCTACTCTCTGTCCCCTCCTTGGGACACACTTGATGGCCTGCACAGAGTGAGTATGGGCTGCTGGTTTTCCTTCCCAGCTTCTGGGAAGGCCAGGCCAGACCAGAAAACAGTGGTGCAGCAGGAAAGGTAGAGCTCCATGCTCAAAGAGCATGCGCCTCTTGGGAGTCCAGATACACAGGGGCAGGAGTACACGACAAGAGAGCCAAACTGAAGGACAGCGTGTGAGGATGTCTGGGGCGACTTTAGGGGTAAGACCCACTAGCTGCCTCTGCCTCCTCCTGCCCTCTCAACCCAATGCCTGCCCTTGGCCAGACCCTTAAATCTTTAAAGACCACATTCCAGTCACTTTCCCCAGATGTGGAATGGGCCACATTTAGCCCAGGAAGACACTGGGAAGTGAGGCAAAAGGAGTTTATGGACTCCAGTCCCAATTTAGCCAAGGCCCCCTGAGTAACTGGAATCAGTAACAGATATCCTCTGCTGGGACATGAAGGTCAGGGCACTCAGCCCTAGCTGGTCACATTCCACACACACAGCCAAAACAGTGGTTACCTCCCAGGTGTGAGGCTGCAGGGAACTATCACTTCCTACATTGGCTATTTCTGTCTTGTTCAAAATTTTTATAAGGAACACCTACTATGGGCCACAGGACAGGCCACTCTGCTCTCCCTCACCCAGGTGAAGGCAGGGGGATCATCAGCCCAGGCTGAGGCTCAGGCCTCTCCCCAAGGATCCTCCGCCCTACCCTGTGTGGTCACTTCACTTTCTCTTCGAATTTCCCTAGGAATTCGGCTTTTTCTCTGGACCTGCTATTTAGGGAGGTCAGGAAGGCGAAAAGGTTCTCCTCAGAACAGAGTGAGGATGTCTCGACCCCTCTGCCTCCCAACCTTCCCTCTGCCCACCAGTCCAAGTGGGACTGAAAGGAACCCTGCCAGGCACCTCAGGCTCCCAGAGGACTTGGCCAGAGCAGAAGTGTGACCTCCTCAGGCTGAGGTGGCAAGGCCGCACAGCCAAACGCTCCTAGATGAGGCCCACCCCCCACCACGACCAAAGCTCCTGCTTCCTTCTTTGTGGACCAGAAAGCCTCCCAACCTACCTCAATATACAACTACTAGAAGATGGTGGCTCCCAGGACAGAGCCCTTGTCTTCAGAGACCCCCAACCTTCCATGTATCAGACGCACGCACGCACGCACACACGCCAAGACTTACTGAACTATAAGGTCCAGTCTGGAAATCTACATTTTTTAGAGCAAGGGGCTCCTCAATGACATGTGGGAACCACAGTGGGATGGCCCCTATCTGCTCTACATCATTTCACAGGTCAGAGATCAACATTCCCTCCACCCTGCCAGGCACAGTAGCACCCAGTCCCCTGGAGGCTAGGGAGCTATAAACCTTGGGGACGAGGATGGGCAGCTGGAGACTATCCTTTCAATGTCCCACCCCCAGCTGACCCAAGAGCAAATGAGCTCCAGGCTCCTAACAGTTTATCCCTGAGGCTTCTGCAGGGAATGTGACAACAGGTCCTGTGCCATCAAGTTCTCATCCTCTGGGAAGCTCTTAGCTACGACCCCACTGGCCTGATCCAATCCCTCCACTTTCTGACCAGGCCAGACACTCTGAACCCAATTCACCCTTCAACCAGATTGGGCAGTACTCTGCTCCATGACCATCCAATTCCCAGGCTCCTGGGGTGTTTCTCCCCAGCTGAACTGTGGTCCCACAGCTCCAAAGTAAGGGAAAAAAGCAAGGTAGAACCCATGAGCTCTTAGGCCCCCTCAGCAATTCACTCCTCACTGCTCTCTCAGAAGCTGGCTTCCAGCTGCCAACACTTCCCAGTCAGTTCTGTCTTCTCTCGACAGCCTTCGGACTCTGGTTCTTGATTCCTAACTCTGAGCACTGTGCCTGGCCTTCAAGACAATTTGCCAGTTCCTTTAACAAACACCACCCTTGTCCCCCAGGCCTGGCAACAGGGGAGATGGTCCTATGGGACAAGAAACAGCCTCCTGGTTTCTTCGCTGAAGAAACCTGTTCCTTCCCTCATGCCCACTCACCAGAGCCTGGCTGGGCCATCACAGCCCTGGGAACCACAAATTCCAAGCTGAGGCCTGATCCCTTTCGCCCATCCAGGGCTGAGACCCAGCCAAAAATCAATCAGGATTTGACCAAGACCCAAATATACAACTACTAAAAGATGGTGGCTCACAGGACAGAGCTCTTGTCTTCAGAGACCCCCAACCTGCCACGTATCAGACGCATACACGCATGCC